GGAAAAGACCCTGATGCTGGGAAAGATTGAAGGCGGGAGGAGAAGGAGATGACAGAGGATGAGATGGTTGGATGGCATCACAGACTCAATGGACATGAGTTTGAGTACTCTCTGGGAGTTGGTGATGGACAGGGAGGCCTGACGTGCTGCAATTCATGGGGTCGCAAAGAGTCGGACACAACTGAGCGACTGAACTGAACTGATTTCATTTTTATGTTTAAGAGGCAGATTTTCTCATGGCATTTTTCTACACAAGATAATTTATCTAAGTTGCAAATATCTGCATTTTGCTCATAGGGCACAAAACCTACTGTCATTTTAAATGAAAAGCAAGGTTATCTATTCACATCTTCATTTTTTCTTAACTGGTTTTTGCATCAAAAGGTTGCTTCTCCCATCTTGGGAACTCTTCAACATGCATGCTCAATGCTAAGTGACCACCCTGACTGCAAAAGGGTGAAGGAGAAGGTGGAGGTCAGTCTAAACCCTCATTCATCAGGGTAGGTAACAGGCACAGTGGAGAGAGCATAAAAAGGAAACCAGGAACTAAGATTCTATGACAATGAAAAAGGAATGGAAAAACAGTGAAAATAGAATAGAAAAAAGGAGAAGGTTGGTAGGGAGATTTCAAGATAGGAGGTTCTTTCCACATAGGGTAAATAAGGAACTGCTGGTGAAGTGGTACCTAGCTCTCTGAAAAATGAAGACTCTATACTTGAGGATGGGAACAAGGAAATGAACTAATGGCAAGGCATGCAAGTGTCTACATGTAGTCATGCCCTGGCCAACCTGAGTGTGAGTCTGCCTGCCATGTTCATGTTAACAGGAAATCTGAGATTTCCCAAGCTTGTCCCAGTCCATTCCTGCTGCTCCATATGAGGACGGATGATGCTATCAGAAAACGCAAAGGAAAGCAGCTTGAGGGACACAGAAGTTTAAGGTGTCAGGAAGTGGCCACATTTCATCTTCCAGTTAATCACTGGGACCTTGGGAGATGTGGAGGCTTTGGGAAAGAAGAATTAAAAGATGGACATGGTTAGGAGCAAAAAATCTGTCATAAGGAAACACATCAAGTTTACAGTAATTTTTAGGAGAAAATATTTGGGAAGGGGATCATAATAATTAAGGCCCCATTATGCATAGAAAGAGTCACAAACAAATGGAGTTTAACCCTAAGATGTAAATACAGCTTTCCAGGTACATTTGAGAATAGCAAAGAAAGGACCCATGATTAGAATGTAACCACTAGTGGGGATTCCCTTGCATAAAAAAAGCCATGAGTCTAAGGCCAATATAAAAAAAGGAAAGATACTGTAGTTGAAACATATTGGTGAACATCCTTGATTAGGTACCAACACAGAAACAGAGACAGTTTTATACTTAAAATTTATATTACAGGTCACCTGGCCAAGTGGAGGAATAGATAATGTGCTGTTGATGAAGTTTACAAAGACAAAAATCAAGAGTAGGGTGGGGATGGGAGGGTTTCAACTAGATAAGACGCAAGAAGTTGCATTCTACTAAAAGTTAAAGAGAAAAGGTGCTGACATGCCTGCTAATATAAGCTTTCAGATGGCAAATAAAGAAATAAGAGAACTGCAGCTTCGAACCAAATCCTGACAGCAGTTCCTGGCAACAGAAATACCAGAAACCTTAGGAGAAATACACTGTACTATCTTTTAGTTCAAACTCACCAAGAAAGAAATGATGAGAATACTGAAGATAGTATCTTAAACTTTAAAACAACAAGTATTTTAAGAGTTCAGGAAAAAACTACATATAATTGTTACAGGTCAAACTGTGTGCCTCCCACCCCATCAAAATTCTTCTGTTGTCATCCTAACCCCTAGCACCTCAGAAAATGTGACCTCATTCAGAAATAGGGTCACTGCAGACGTAATTAGTTAAGATGAGGTCACACTTTGGTGGGGTGGGCCCCTAATTCAGTGTGATTGGTGTCCTTATAAAAGGGGAAATTTGGAGACAGGCGCACAGGGATGTCATGTAAAGATGAAGGCAGAGATATGGCTGATGCTTCTACAAGCTAAGGGATGCCAAAAATTGCCAGCAAACCATCAGAAGCTAGGGGAAAGGCACAGAACAGATTATTCCTCATGGCCCTCAGAAGAAGACAACCCTGATAACATCCTGACTCTGAACGTCTAGCTTTCAGACAATAGTTGTTGAAGCCACCCAGTGTGTGGCATTTTGTTACAGTAGCCTGAACAAACTACTACAATGATGTTAAGGCTTGATTAGGAAGATAACTGAAGGGTGAAAGCTCTTAGGAAACTATGCAATCACAGAAAGTTTTGATGAAGAAGGAAAAAAAAGTATCTAAAGAATCAGTATGATTGTCAGGAGATGTGCATAATAATCTTGGTTTTCAAAAGGGAAACAAGTGAATTTTGTAAAATAGAGTCTTTATGTTGATTCTAAACTATTGTCTCTTATTCCTCAAACTAGCACTTCAGAGAACAAGAGTAAAAATAACAGGCATTGGAGGCACAGCCTTTGAGTCTGGGCTCACATCTCCCTAGCTGTTTATGCTTCTGTGCTCAGCCTTTCTACCCTGCATACTTGAAGCATCGTGGAATGCTGCCAGGGCTGAGTCACCATTTAGACATGCTCCGCTCCCCTCCCCATCCAGTGCTCCCAAACTCATCAGTATGTAAGATTTCAGCAATTATTATACCTCTTGTTCCATGAGGCTAAACTCATCTGTCACCATGCTAGTAATACATTTGATCATTCATTTCAAAAGGGGTGATTAAAAATAAATTTAATCATCATTAGTTGATTTAAAGTATCACTATCTAGAAAAAAATTTTCTGCTTTTAAGGTTGTATCAGGGCTCAGTTATAAAACCAGTCTTACTAACCTCCTCGAGCAAAGCTATTGGATGGGTTTACATCCAAATGTCCTGGCACTACCTGCTTAAGCACAGTGGACATTCTTGAAGTCCTCCTTTCAGTCCCTAAAGTCAGCCAAAAAGAAGAACAAAAACCATGTCGTTGGGGTTAACATTACTCAAATGACAAAAAGTTATCTTCATGTGTAGCATGTCTAATTGCTGCCAAACATTGTACTTTTTAAGTACCCAAAGCTTTAATAGAGATAACAAGGCACTGTTACTATTTCCTCAGAGATACACACATCTGCAAGATTATAGAGTTAGGTTTGGCAAGTGCAATCAGAGAACTGAATGATAAATGAAGCAAGGCATGCATGGTGTTACTTTACAAGAAAAGCCACTTTCTGCTTATGTTGAGCTAATTCAAATAGCTGATTAAGCCAAGGAGACCAACTTCTCAAGTCACATGCTCCTGTATCTAACACATTAGGGTTACCTCTACATGAACCCTTTGGGGTTCCATCACATGATAACTGAAACAGAATATTAGTACAAGTCTTAATGGCTTCATCCAAATCTAGTGAAAACAAACTGTACTGCAAATCATAAAAGGCCACAGAAATTTCAGGAATTTCAAACTTATACATGATGATTTTAATAAATATACATTCAATAAACATGTTCAACTTACATATTCAACTCTAATACTGATATTTTAAACTTCGTGTAAAACAGATTTCAGGGAAAAAAAAAAACCTCACATCACTATGTATTTCCTACCACCTCTCCTACTACTCTTTTTAAAAGGAACTAACTGAATCTCTAAATTTGGTTACTATTTACTAGAAATTTAGAGTGGCACCCTGATAAAAGCTGAAGTTACAGCACCATAAGGTACAACATTAAGGGGTCGTGTTGACGGAACAATGCGAATAACTAAAGAGGCTAACCGAGGAATGAATGTGACCATTCACACTTGTCAAAAAGAAACGCATTATGTCAAATCTTACCTGGAGACAGAGCAAGTGTTGGCCTGACAGTAAGAGGGTTATTGCCACTGAGTTTCTGATGGACAGAAACTGCACTCAGTAATGCTTGCAAGTACTTCTCTTGTTCTATGCTACTGGAAGATTCTAAAGAGGAGGTAGGAGCTATAAAAGGAAAAGATATTAAGTAAAACCATTTCTATATTAATAAAACAGGCTCTCTCTATATACACATGCTTATTCCTTCTATATATGGTCTTCCAGTTAACCACACCCAAATATAGAAACCAGCCCCACTTAAAACTCCAAACTTAAATGGCTAATCCTCCGATGATAATGGTTTTACCAAAATCTACTTCCAGATTGCCTCATCATCCTCCCTGAAAGAGCCCAGGCCTGAAAAGCCAGCACACAGTTGTCCTCCAAAGTACAGGTATAGTTTTTCACTATCCAACCAACTCAAAATGAAGATTTACAAAAGACAACACTTCCTTGATGACCCATGCTTCTGTTGGGGAGCAGAGGATGGAGTGGGTTCCCTCAGCATCCCAGAATGAGCAGAAGTGAGACTTCCCAATACCAGTAACTGCATTCCAGTTCTGTCACATTGGCCTAACAGGGAACATGAACTTGTAGTGGGTTGTTGTGGGAAGAGTGCAGGAAGAGGAGGACATAGGAGCAGCTACTGCTCAATTCCCTAGTCCTTCTAAAACAGGATCACAAAGTATGCACAGATGGAAAAAACAGTGAGAGTAATTCTGGTTGGAGCGAGTCTGAGCCTAGCTTGCATGGAATAAAACAGAATCACAGAAAATGGCCCAGGTACTCTAAAGTGGTATTGGGAGGGGACTGACTAGAACAACAGATAATAACAAATTTTCTTACAACATGACTAGAAATAAATAATTAGCATTACTATCTTATATTTTATCAACTTTAAAGTGCCATCGTGTTTTATAAATTCTAAAATGCCATTAATTATAAGAGGCACTACTATTTTATTTAATGAGAATTAAATAACTGCCATTTGAGCCAAGATACAGTTCCTTCTGATCACATGAACTGTGAGCCACATTCCCATTTCAAAGGTGCTATAATGTGAGCAAATGCGTGAGTTCACAAACTACGAAACACAATAAATTTATATTATACTGAAAAATCAAAAATGAGTGGAATAAGACAATTTCAAGTTTTCCAACTAAAAGCTCAGTGATATGCTCATAATAACGCTCCTGAGATTATTCACTCACTTTATGTAATCTACATATGCTATGTTCTATCACCTCCATTATGTGGCTTGAGAAGATTCCTTAGGGCAGAAAAAGTTAAAAGCCAACTGCCTTCAATATACATATGTTGAGACTCCATGCCAAATGGAGTAACAATAACAATATAGCCCACCAGGCTCCTCTGTCCATGGGATTCTCCAGGCAAGAATATTGGAGTGGGTTGCCATTCCCTTCTCCAGGGGATCTTCACGACCCAGGGATCAAACCTCAGCCTCTTGCATTGCAGGCTGATTTTTCACTGTCTGAGTCATAACGGAAGCCAACAATATAGCACCATGTGTATAATGTCCTCAGTCAGCTGAATGATCAAAGACATGCTGGCCAACTTTGAACTTTCAGGAAGGAATGGATGAGAATAAAGAAAACATATGGTTCAACCTACTGAACCACTGAACTTGAGTTTGCTCATTTCCAAAGAGGGAAGTCATTCCTAAATCGAATCTGGTATCTGAGAGGTCCTTGGTTAAATTTTTTGAGCATCTGTTTTAAGCTAGAGGTTATGAGAAAGGTTAGCAAAATATCGCTCCTGACTGACTGCAGACCTCAAACGCAGTGCTCAGAAGTGTCCTCAGAGAAAGGGCACCGCACTTAGGGTACGCTTTTTCTTACGTTGACCAGTCCCTAGCTTCCTAAAAACCTTTCCGTTTGAGTGCTCCAAAGCCAGGATTTTGGTCAGTAGGTTGCTGACTTTTATGTGTGTGTGTGTGTGTGTGTGTGTGCATGTGACATGTAGGAATGAGATAGGATGTCTTATATCACATAGGACAGAAACCTATTTACTTCTGAAGCTATTAAATATATCTGAATGCTTCCCCCCACAAAAGAAAACAATTATTATTATCTGTTTCTATTTGTGGATACTCTGGTTTGCTGAAATGAAAACAGCCTAGAACCAAAGACTTTACTATGTTAATTTCTATTAAAATTCAAATATAGACAGACATATTAAGCAAGATGTCAAACTCAAGGCAGAACCCCACACTGTCAACCTCTGTTCTTAAACTGTACAGACTGTACACAGCACACTGGAAAAGTCCACGTGTGAGAAGCTTGATGGGAAGGGTACAACTAGCATTCCTGGAGTTTACTTCCTTTATTTTTAGAACACCCAGAAGTGGAAGGATCAGAATAGTGCTGTAGAGAGTTGCTTACCTGCCTGAGGGGAGTTCTGAGACTTGAAAAGGCCAACCACTCCCTTCCCATGGAATCCTCCAGATCGGAGGAGCAGGGTACTGCTTCTTGAGTTTCTCCAACATACAACAGGCAGGCGATTATGTCGATAGCAGCGGGCTACTCTTGGTAAACTATTGTCCTGTACAGCTTGAGGTACAACTAAAAGGCCAGGATAGCTTCAGGGAGATGGAAAGGAGAAACAGAATGATTTGGGTGGGTAAGGCAGGGTGGGGGGAGGAGAAGAAAAAAGAAATGGGGAGAGAAAGAATACAAGAATATGAATTTTATAAGTTCACAGTAATTTTCTAAGGCTCAGAAACACTGGTGGAGAGATAAGACATATATTTCAAACATGAAACAATTCAGTTCTTTAGAGGTTGAGAAGAAAAGGCCTAGACAGTGAAAACAACTAACTCATCTACTAATCTTTTTTTTTTTAACTAAGCCTTCTTCAGTGATACTGCAAACTTTTGCTGAGTAACGTTAAGTGTAAAAATTAAAAATGTCATACAGAATTATTAAAAAGGCCTCCATTAAACAAGATTTCCCTTGCCTTATATACAACTTGAATAAAGATTGCAAGATTAATGTATTAATGTCAACTTTATGAGAATGACAAATCAAACTGTCAACTCCTTGGATTACTGAAAATACAACAGAGGATAAAGTACACTAACATTCAGAATGCCAGAGATGGTGAAAGGATTAAAAACCAAAACCAAATGACTTTTGGTATGAAAACAATATGTTCAAATGTCAAGTGAGTGTAAATATTTTATTAACACTACATGTTGATAATTTAAAAAAAAGATTAGCTCATAAAGTTACAGGATATGATGTTGGGAAAATTAAAAACAGACAAGATAGATAAAAACTTATTTATCTTGTTTTTATAGATAAGTACAAGAAGACAGGCAGCCTTCAAAGCAGTTCTTTAGTTTATTTAGAAACATTAAAGAGATTCCATGTTAATAATCTCCTAACCTCTAATCCCATGTCTTTTGTATGTGTGTGCTTTTTTTTTTTAAGAATTGTGGTAAACTGTATCTAACATGAAACTTAACATGTTAACCATTTTCAGTCCACAAATCACTGACATTGTCACAATACTGTGCAATCAATCACTTCCAGAACTTTTAATCCCTTATCTTGTTATAAATCAGTGCTGAGAGCAGGGAGAGAAAATCCAGTATGTGGTCATATAACCTTCAGTGGTTAGTGAATGCCAATTTTACTTCTCTCATCTACCCAGAGATTCCCTGGAAGCATTCTGAAGGCCTAGCACTTTCGTATTTCAGGTTTACAGGCTGTCTTTTTCTAATACCACAAACTGATAAAGTGTCATAGCTGTAGACATAATCTTTCATAAAGACTTGAAAAGCAGTTCCATTATTAGGGTCCTATGTTTCTTTTCTTTTTTAAATTGCAGTACAGTTGATTTACAATTTTGTGTTAGTTTCAAATGTACAGCAAAGGCTTTCTTCTTCTAACTCCACTTTAGTATCTGTTTATTGCCCCTTCTGGTTCTAGATACTATAGTGATTTTGTGTATTAGATAAGAGAGTAATGTTTAACAGCTTTTGGTACTGTTTCAGTAACTGGGAAAGAACCAACACACTCCTCTACCCCATTCCCCCGTCCCTTCCTTCCTTGGCATTAGCACCACAGACCATGCTCTGCTATACATAGGATCTAAGACTTTCCTGGTTCCAGGCATGGGCCTGAGTGACGGCTGGATAACCACTGGTGCTAGGGTAAAAAGCATAGAGCCTGAAGGCCAGCAGAGGCTACTCTCAGGACCAGTGTCATTTAGCATGAAAGATATATCCATTTATCCTGCCACCCACCCTATTCTACTACCACTACTTAGAGCCACCAGCCATGGGTACCAGAGGAAGCCTTGAGGTAGACTGGGCTGCTGTGGAAACTTTTAGGGCTTCCCTCATAGCTCAGTTGGTAAAAGAATCCACCTGCAGTGCAGGAGACCCTGGTTCGATTCCTGGGTCAGAAAGATCTGCTGGAGAAGGGATAGGCTACCCACCCCAGTATTCTTGGGTTTCTCTTGTGGCTCAGCTGGTAAAGAATCTGCCTGCAATGCGGGAGACCTGGGTTTGATCCCTGGGTTGGGAAGATCCCCTGGAGAAGGGAAAAGCTAACCACTCCAGTATTCTGGCCTGGAGAATTCCATGGACTGTAGTCAATGGGGTCGCAAAGAGTCAGACACAACTGAGCGACCTTCACTCACTCTGGAAGGTGGAAACTTCTAATCAAAGAATAACACATATACAAATGGCCTGAAACATACATGAATGAACACAAAAAGAAATTCATATCATTAGCACCTAGGTCAAGAAATAGACCATTACCAGCATCCAAAAAACCCCTTATGTCACCTCCCAAACAGTGTTTCTCCCTTTTACTCCTCCAAAGATTATCACTAAACATCCGTGACTGCTAACAACATGGATGAGTTTTGCCTGGTTTTTTAATTTAACAAAACAGGAACAAATAGAATTTATTTTTTTGTGTCTGGCTTCTTTTTCTCAACAGTATGTTTATGAGACCCATCCATGCTATTGCATGCAACCGTAGTCTGTTCATTTTCGTTGTTGTAGAGCTGGGGTCCCCAACCTCTGGGCCATAGATCAGTACCTCCTCTCAGATCAGAGGTGGCATAAGATTAGAAACAGAGCACATAATAAATGTAATGTGCTTGGACCATCCTAAACCCCCACACCCACCTCCCCCTGCAGGTCCATGAAACTGGTCCCTGTTGCCAAAAAGGGAGGGGACTGTTGCTGTATATTATCCCACTATGTGACTGTATTATTTATCTAATCCTTTTATTGTTGATTTTGAGTAGTTTCTAGTTTTTGACTATATAAGAAACAAGTTGCCATGAACATTCTTGTAGTTTTTCTAGTTTTTGACTACATAAGAAATATGTTGCCATGAACATCTTTGTAGTTGTTTTTTGGGAGTATACATGCTTTTCCAGATGGAGTAGACTTTCCAAGAAATACATAATAGATTGTGTACATGTTCAGTACATGTCTAGGAGTGTAGTAGATGCTGTCAGGGAACTTTCTAAAGTTGTTTAACCAATTTACAGTTACACTAGCCATAAAGAGTTCTACTTGCTCAACATTTTTTACTAGCATTGTGTACTGTTGGTCTTTTAAATTTTAGCCATTTTTGCAGGTATGAAGTTGTCTCAATGGGACTTTAATTTGTATTTAGCTGAAGACTAATAAGATAAGCACTGTTGGAAGATGGAGGGAACTAAAGGTGCCTACCAAATTGAGAAGGCATCTTGAGAGTAAAGCATGAGGCAGGCAGCTCCATAAGTAAATATTACATATATATATATATATAAAATAATAAAATGGATCAGTTCATTAGAGGGTTAACTTACTCACAGGGTGGGATCTATCAGTGGATAATGATCAGGAAACATTCGCTACTATACTCTGAGCCATTGAGGGGCCACAGGACAGTTTTATAGTCAACCTAGGGTATGGTGGTAGGTGCCTGGAAACAGGATGTGCATTCCCAAGTTAAGAATAATAGGTCACTAGTCTCAAGGGCCCTGGGAATACTTCAGGGAAGGTTTTCATCATTGTTTGGGAACTAATAGAGCATACAGACTACCTGGTCCTAATAAGCATTAAACAATATCTATTGACTACAAAGCTCTTGATGACAGAGAAGTGATTCACTAGATAGTATAGTGTTGGGCAGGGTCAGCAAAAAGACAGGAGAAACTGTTAGGGCCTGATGGCATCAGTTATGCCAAGAGTGACATAAGCATCTTTTTAGATATTTATTGCCCACTAGGATGTCTTCACAAAAGAGGACATCCTCTGCCTTTGGTTATTGCCTTTTTATTCCCCTAATGATGTCTTCTGATATATAAAACTTCTTAATTTATCAATCTTTTATACTTTATGGATAGTGTTTTTCCTGTCTTAAGAAATATCTTCTAGAAGCTTTATTTAAAATTTTAACCTTTTTCATGTAGATCATGTAGCTCTACAGATCAGTGGGAATTGATTTTTGCCTGTGCAGTGTAAGGTAGAGGTCAAAATTAATTTTTTCCTTGTATAGATATCCAGCACCATATATTGAAAAAATATCTTTTATCTACTGTTTTTAAATGTTATCTTTATCTTAAGCCAAGTGTTCTCATATGTTGAGATTCTTCTATATTCCCTATTTTGCTCCAGTGGTCTCTCTGTCTATTCCTGTGAACATTCCATACTGCCTTAATTACTGTAGCTTTATATAAAGTCTTGATATCCTGTAATATTATTCTATAAGATGATCCTGCTACTTCTGGCCTTTTGCATTTTAATGTAACTCTTAGAATCATCTTTTCAATTTCTACAAACATTTTGCTGGGATTTTGATTGGGGTTGTACTGACTCTATAGGTCAATGTCTGGAGAAATCACAGCTTTAGAGTACTGAATATTCTAGTCCAAGAACATTAAATATCTATTTATTTGCGATCCTTAATACTGTTTTGACTGTACCATGTAGAGATTTTATACATCTTCTATTAGATTTAGTCCCAAGTGTTTAATAATGTTTTTTAGTGCTACTTTAAAAGTACTAATAGTATCAAAATAACATCATTTAAAATTTCATCTTTTAATTATTTGTTTTTGGTGTATATATATGACTGATTTTTTATAATAACCTTGCAAATTTGCTTCTTAATATAACAAGTTTATCAGTTGAGTCCCTCAGATTTTCTATCTGTATAATCAGATCATCTGTGAAAAGCAGTTTTATTCCTTTCCTTTCAATCTTTCTTTTATTATTTAGTTTTCTAATCTTTTTGTACTTCCTAAGACCTCTAGCACAACACTGACTAGAAGTGGTGATACTGGGCATTTTGGTCCTGATCTCAGAGTACAAGTTTTCAATACTTTACCATTAAGTAATTTTTGCTGCAGGATATATTTTTTAGACACTTAGGAAATTAAGAAGCTCTCCCTGTATTTCCAATCTGCTTAAGGTTTTTTGTAAAAACTCCTAAGTATATATTATACTTTATAAAATGCTTTTCTGTATACAATGAACTTAACAATAGTTTGTAATTCTTTTAATGTGGTGAACTGTGCTGATTAATTTTCAATTGTTAAGCAAGTTTAGTATTCTTGTAATAAACTACACTTGGTCATAATGAATTCTGAATGAAATGAACCTTTTGTCATTATGAGTCATCTTTTTTATTGCTAGTAAAATTTTACTTTAAAACATATTTTAATATTTATATATTGACAATAGCTTTATTTTAAAAAGCTGGTTCTGCATGATGTATTCTTTCTGTTCACTTTCAACCTTTTTGTAATCTTGTATATTAGATATGGCCCTTAAAAGCAGCATAAAGCTTAAAAAATTCTGATTATCTTTTTCTTTTAATTGGAACATTTATCAATATTATAAGTAACATAATTACTGATATATCTGAATTTAAATTTGCCATCTTATTATTTGCTTTCTATTTGTCCCATCTGCTGCATGATTCCTTTTCTCTCTTTCTTGACTTCTTTTGGATTATTTTTTATTATTCCGTTTCCTTCTAATAGCTTAAGGGTTTATGTTAGTTAATATAACTAACCGTAATTTTCTTATAATAATCATTAGAATAAATGGTCTATTAAGATTTTATTTTGTTTCTGACAGAGTGAAATGATAAATAACATCTGTTTTCTCACTGTCAGATAAGATTTTGATAACAAGCTTCCCAAATAGCAGGACATCACACCTAATGCCTTTGCTTACACTGAACTACAAAGAAATTTAGTTAGAAGGACAGAGTATCAGGAAAATTACTGCATACTCAACAAAGTCACAGCCTTTCAGCACTTAATGTGAAATTTTTATTTATCCCAAATGTCAAACTATATTCCCAATTTGTTTCTCAAGTTTCACATCTGTATTTGTACATTTAAACTGTCATTTAAAATGAGATATCTACAATTCTTCAAGAACAGTAGGGCTGAAACTAATAGTAACATTAAGACAACTTTCTAAAATATGTACAAGACTTAAAAGCTACAAAGTACTTTCACAGTGTTATTGTAATAATCAAACCATAAGTTTATACATGCTAAGAAAAGAACTTACCTGAAAATGATCAAACTTGTGGAGGGTAAAAATGTAGTTTTAAAAGATACAAAGCAGGAAATAGGGCTTAACAGATACATATAAAACAGCAGCAGACATAATAGAAAAAAGAACATGTGTTCATTTACAGTCTTTAAGTAATATCTCTTGAAAAAATTCTAATTAGATAGCATAAGGAAACCTGACCTACACCTGGATTAGCAAATTACGGCCTGTGGGCCCAAACCGGCCTTGCCCATTTCTTTATGTACGGGCTATGGCTGCTTCAGTGGCAGAGTTGGGTAGCGGCAATAAGAGAACATATGCTGTGTAAAGTTGAAAATATGTACTATCTGGCCCTTTAAGGAAAAAGTTTGCAGTCCCTTGACCTACAGCATATTTTCATCTCTCCTCTGCCTGGGCAAATTCTATTCCTACTTCAAGCTATCCCAGGCATGCTAGAAGAGGGGCAAAAGGGAAGAGAAAGACAAATATGGGAAATTCATAAAGTGGACAAAAACTTTTACCGTCTACTTTCTGATCTAACATAGGCACATTCAGTGATACAGCTATACTTCTGAGAATGTCAGTGAGACACTTGGACACACTGCACAAAAAATGTCCCTTAAACACACACACCCCTGGACACCGGCTCCTATTTTCCAGCATCTCTCTTTCTCTCTTGGCTATGGATGAAAATAGCCCATTCAAGACTCAAATGGAAGAAAGGAAGGTCTCTTTTGGAGAGACTAACAGACTTACCTCCGGCAGAGTGAATACATCCTGTTAGAGGCAGTAATTCGAAAGTACTCTGGTTTAGAGCGAGAAGAGCTGCCACTTATGGTTCCCAAACCTAAACGCTGATAGTCTCTGAAACAAGCTTTTTCTACTAGCTGTTCCATTGTAGATTTCTCCGAGGCCTTCAGAGTGGTACTCGTGGGGAGTTCACTATCATCTGAAACTTGATGGCAGAGACAGGTTTTGATGAAATGAGATAGCTCAAAGTAGAGGATTAAAAACTTCCTTCTAAAGAGCATCTTTAACCAAGAGGGGTTTATATGAGGGCTAGAGGTGCTATGTATGCCAAAAATTGAATCACGGAACTTCTATGAGGCATTATTATACTCAAACATAAACTGTAATAGTCAGGAAATAAAATATTAGGAGCTCAACTAACAACATCAGGGAAAGTAACTTAAAATTTTTAAAAACAATATAATTTTGAATATATTACCCATATTTTTCTTTGTTAGTCAGGCTTGATTTTTAATGTCCACCTGGAGTGATTTCTATTTAGGACTCTGTAAACACTCATACTTTGTGAGAGACTAACCTATTAGTAAAACTCACCTCTAACATAATCATTACACAAACTCATCAGGTTTCAGCTAACTTTAAGGAGCATAAACTTTCATTGAAATTTTTAATTAAGGAGAAGTTCACTACTGGGAAAGGATCTTTCTTAGATATGAAGAAGTTATATTTGATGGAAGTTACATTTTGTCAGAGGATGTGGTGTACATGGGAAACTCCCTCAATTTTGCAATCACAGGTTACAGAAGCCTTTAAAATTTTAGATGTTGGAAGAGTTTACCCAATAACCAAGTATTTTAGGGAGGATTAAAAACAACAACATTCCTAATTGGTACTGCATGTTCTAACTAAAAAAAAAAAAATTCCATGTTAAAAACTGTCCTAATTCACTTTCCTACTTATTTTTACAATGAGAGAATTCAAATTAACCTTTCAAAGTTTTTGGAAATGTACTCAAAGTTCTCATGTCAAAGGGAATGATATAGCTCTCTTCAATTAAAAGGAAAAAAAAACCCAGCTTATTCCTATAAATACAAGCCTTTGTGCTTTAGTTTGTGAACTTCACAATGCAAATGTATCATTAAGTATCACTTTTATTTGTTTTGGCCTCTTATCTTCAGAAGAGCAAAGAGTATTACATAATTTGGTCTTTTGGTGGAATAATTATCATAGAACAAGTTTTTGTTCTGTGAAATCATAAAAACTTTAAATTAGAAAAGTCAATAGTGATGGGTAGCAGTAATTTTTGTATGGCTTTCCATGTGACTGTGAGAAGCCCGGGTTCCAATAAATGGTCTTTTCACTGCCCCCGGAGGCAAGCCTGTAGATACACATACCAAAATGGGACCTTTGGCCAATGATCTCTCTAAAGATGACATTTCTTTCTTTAAAATGTTCTTCTGTTGTTATTAGTGGCAGTAAAAGTAGTAGTTGTATAATCCCTGGTGATCTAGTCGCAGAGTCTGAGAAGGAAAAGGATGCAACGGCACCCTCTCTCTCAGATCAGATTCTCTCTAGTGTTAATTCCATAAGCATACTTAACATTGGGTTAAGGAACAGAAAAATTTTGCTACTGGTTTTCTGACTGAGTTATCTCAGCTTCCCAGGTTCTGCTCTTTTAAATATTTAGCGAGCATTTTTTCTTAACATCTAAGAACGCCTTCATCTTAGGTTCCCCATATAGATTAGGAGTACCCACAATGTTCTCTCCAAAACCCCAAATATTCAACTTTGAATAATTTATGTTCTTATTTTCTTATTCTTATTCCATAACAATAAAGTACAGGGGACTACTTTATACCTAAATTTCCTGTGCAGTGGGATTTCTTTCTTCCTCCCTTTAATGAGACCCACATAACAGTGGCCAATTAGCTTTATGGATTTAGTAGAGGAGGAGTGTGTGTGTGCTATGTTGCTTCAGTCGTGTCTGACTCTTTGCGACCCCATGGACTGTAGCCCGTCAGGCCCCTGTCCATGGGGATTCTCCAGGCAAGAATACTGGAGTGGGTTGCCAGGCCCTTCTCCAGGAGATTTTCCCAACTCAGGGAATGAACCCTCATCTTTTATGTCTCCTGCATTGGCAGGTAGGTTCTTTACCGTTAGCGCTACCTGGGAAGTCCAGAGGAGGAATACAACTTAACAGAATCTTATCTGCACAATGGAGTACTGGAAAACAAAAAAAATTTTTTTCCAGTTCTGAGAAGCTGGTAAGTACCTCCCATCTTTTGTGGTCTAGGTTTTTGAGAGTCAGGTTTAAGTGCAACTATGTCTTTATCTCTTGTTCTTACTCATATAAGAAGAAAGAACAAAGTTCATTCACGAAGGAAAAATGAGTTCTCACATACCAGATATGTCATCTTCTTCATTCCATCCAGGACGGTTCACTCTCTCTTCCACAATTGTCCCTGTCCTCCTCTTCAATAAATACTGCCGCCCAATTGTCATTTTGCCTGCCCTTTTAGCACCTTTCACAATTGTTTTTGAGAAAGTGCTACAAGTTATAAAACCAAAGAGAATGTTAATTTAATATGAAAATGTCACTTACATTTTTTGATACCCATGTTGCTCAACTTGTTTTTTCTCTACCCCTACACCCAGTAGTACTGTCCAGACCTTCATTAAGCCTCTCCTTCTTCAGGTCACTTTTTATATGGCAGAAGGCTAACTTACTATAAAACATTGTTATCATCAGGACACGGTGTTAGGCAAAAAGTGCAAGAACCTAGAGTGGGACACAGACTATTTATCATCCCCAACCTAAACTCAGTTTGGCTTTTTGTCAAGCATGCCCCCAACCTACTCTGCTTATCCATGCCACTGCCTTCACCAGTTCCCAGAGACCATGCTTGCGGAAGTCCTGCCTGCCTCCTCCTCTACTGATTCAGAATCTCTACTAACTCATAGGCTTTCTTTAAGATCATCACAAATGTAGCTGGCAGCACCTCCACTTATTTCTTAAATGCTTTAAATGTGTAAGTATAGTGTCCTGCCTTCTGACACTAGAAACCTTCTGAGATATGGAAAAGAGTAATTAACATAATTCCCTTTTCTGAGAGGAGAAAAGATAAGAATCAGAAATTTGAGTATCCTTTTGAGCTTTAATTACAGAGAAACTAGGATTGAAGATATTTGGATCTAAAAGTTCTTTATTTATTTAAGTAGTTTACTTTTTATTGCTGATAGAAATTCTGGGTGTAGATATTTATAATCCAAAGAATTAAACAAAGGTTCCATTTCCTGAATAATCATATTGAGGTGAAGGTTTCAAGTAAGATTGTTTTTTATTATGTTTGTCCACATACAACAACAGAACTTTTCCTGTGTTTTCTTGCTGTTCAATGAAAAGTGATAAGGATTCTTTTGCAGTCAAATAGTTTTATCAGACCTCATCTTTAGTGATCTGAAATGTAAATATGAGGGTTATGGACCTCAAATTAAAATGCTGTTTTACATAATTGTTAAAATTCACAGAATATAGATATTTCCTAAATTAAGCCTATTGTGAATCACTTCAAATGTAACTTAAACTTGAATGTTTTCCCAGCTAGAGCTGTATCTTTTGTTTTCTATATGCAAGATAATACCAAGAGATTTTAAGGTTTAAAATTGATTTGTCTCTGTTGTATCTTGATAGAATAAGCTTGATTTTACAGATATATAACCACCCTCACCCCAACAGTTTCTAAACATAAAACACCATACAAAACTTTGTTTCTTCCATAGAGAGCTAAAATAATGAATATCATAGGCTCCTCTGTGACCCCACAGTGCTAAGATGCAATGCCTGGCTCACCATCTAAATGTTTAAAATGCCGTTCATGCTTCTTCAGCATCTCACACCTGCATATGCGTGGTCTCCTTTGCTTACCAGGTAACAATGGTACGAGTGGCTAGCCATGCAGCTTAGAAATGACATTCTGCCTGCGACCTCAAATGGCCTATAATCTCCACCCGGCCCCACTTTCAGACAAAAGGAAGGCCTTTTCTCCAAAGTCCGCAGAGTAACCCTAATATGTAATTTGTCCTAGCAGATGCCCAAATTCCAGGTGATTAATGGTAAATGGACTGCAATATTAACCCTTATATTTTACCACTAATTGAAGAACCTTTTAAAGCAATTGTTATTTTGTAATCATTCAAATGTAAATGTTTCAACATAAATTTCTAAACATTTTCATCAGAAAATAAGGGTTCCTACTAAAGAAATGTGACAAAAGTAAATGCAATGACTGATCCTGGGTTGGATCCTCTATCAGACAAAAAAAAAGAAAGTAGCTGCAAAGGATCATAAGCAAAATTTAAATATGAAGTCTGGGTCAGGTGAAAGTTTTATATCAATTAAATTTCCTGGTTGGATTACTGTACTGTGGTTATATAAAATAATGTCTTTGTTTTTAGAAATATATATTGACATATTAAAGAATAAAGGAGCATTATGTATATAACTCAAATGTTTAAAAAATATATATGAGAGATGAAATGATAAAGAGAATGGAATAAAACATAAGCAATTGGTGAATCTAGGTAAAGGGTATACAGGACTCCTTTGTACTATGTTGTAACCTTTGTAAAAATTTGACATTAAATAAAAAGTCCACCAGCAGATGAATGGATAAGAAAGCTGTATGAGATGGATGAAACTGGAGCCCATTATACAGAGTGAAGCCAGAAAGATAAACACCAATACAGTATACTAACGCATATATATGGAATTTAGAAAGATGGTAACGATAACCCTATATGCAAGACAGAAAAAGAGACAGAGATGTATAGAACAGACTTTTGGACTCTATGGGAGAAGGCGAGGGTGGGATGATCTGAGAGAATAGCATTGAAACATGTATACTATCATATGTGCAACAGATCGCCAGTCCAGGTTGGATGCATGAGACAGGGTGCTCAGGGCTGGTGCACTGGGATGACCCAGAGGGATGGGATGGGGAGGGAGGTGGGAGGGGGGTTCAGGGTGGGGAACATGTGCATATCCATGGCTGATTCATGTCAATGTATAGCAAAACCACTAAAATATTGTAAAGTAATTAGCCTCCAGTTAAAATAAATTGAAAAAAAGCTACAGAAAGAAAAAAAAAAAAAAACACATTCTCATCTCTCAATCAGAACAAACCTCTTTACTTGACCTGGATATTGATGGAAACTGAAGGGATTACTCAAAGGTAGTTAGAAAGCGAGCAACAGAGGAAAAAGGGAAAAGAGAACTTCACATTCTAAAACTGCATCATAAGCAACGAACATGATTATCCCGTATGTCAGAGCTGGTTTCCATAACTCCTGAGCTTGGTTCAGTGGGTGTGACAGAATGGCAGACACACACTGACTCAGAAGATGGGTCACTCTCCCTGACAGTCAACTTTGGGAGAGATGAAATGAAGAAAGCTATCTCCTCACCGAAAGGAAGTGTTCTTTTCCTTCTGCTTGGGTAAAATGATTTGCGGGGTAGTTTGTCCAGCAGCAAAAGCAAAGGTGGTAAAAATGGACTGAGGATAACGAAACTTCATCAGCTGTTTCTTAAAGATCTCTACTACTTCTGGACTCACTTCTTCATCAAATGCTACTTTAATCAACTAGAGACAAAAGAAATTAAACATATCAGAAACATTAAGGATTTCTAGATAGCNCAACTAGAGACAAAAGAAATTAAACATATCAGAAACATTAAGGATTTCTAGATAGCACCCCCCCCAATTACTGAAATAACAAAAAAATAACAATACTAAATGACAATAGGTTAGAGGTTGAAGGGACTTTGGATATCATGAAATACAATTTAAAATTTTTAAAAATAAAAAAGGGCTCAATAAATTGAGGGCTCAGAAAGGTTTACTTGTTATAGATGGTTGGTTGATAAGGAAAATAATGTATCTTGAAGTTGGGTTTCTTTAAGACTATCTTTTCTCAATTTCTTTTCCTTTTTGGCTGTGCAGTGTGGCTTGTGGGATATTAGTTCCTTGACCAGGGATTGAACCTGGGCTCTCAGCAATGAAAGTGTGGAATCCTAACCACTGGACCGCCAGGGAATTCAGGACTGTCTTTTTTATGACACATCATAAAAATTAACTAATAGTGGCTGGAGTAGGAATTGTGTCCTTCTTGTTTACCAACCATTGGTGGTCCTAGATAGGGGATTTTGCCTAAGGAAGTGTCTTCCTATCTGGAGATACTATAAATCTAGGAAGAAAAAATTAAGTTTGACTAGAATCCTATCGGTAGACCTATGTGTTTGATAGAGCCTTTAGATAGCAGCTCTTGGCATCTGTTTCTGGTGGAAATGCCTGTGACTCTTCTATGGAAGGGGCAGAGCTCTGAGACCACAGCATTCTAGTTTAGAGTCCTTTGGTAGTTGAAATAATGAAGAAATCCCTAAGAGATTAGTACTCTCATATGGCTAAAGCAGGTCTGGACCTACAGACCAGAAGGCTTACATTTCACACAACCAGCATAGGGAAGTATTAGGGAGAGCTTCTTGACTGGAAGGAACAAGGCAAGAATTGGAACTCCTGGAAATCTGAGAAGTCAGAAACAAGGCACAAGAGTGGGAAGAGCAAAATGTGCTCTTGAGAATTATTTTTTTTAAAAAAAGCAAAACTAAGAAAAGAGTGCCTAGCATCAGTAAGTCCCACAGGTTCTGAAATGTTCAGAGCTCCCTGGAAAAACCTTTGCTTCATCAAGGTTTACTTATAATCAACAGTACTTTAGCCCTAGCTGTAATTCTCTGTAATTCTCAGAGCTCTGCCTCTTCCATAGAAGAGCCACAAGCATTTCCTCCAGAAACAGATGCCAAGAGATGCTATCTAAAGGCTCTATCAAACACAAATTGAAGTATTAGATGGCAGAGAATAAGAGTCAACAGTGTGAGTCTGAATTTCTGAGATCACTCAACATCAACAGATTACTCATCAACATTGTTACTCTGAGCTGACTGAAGGGCTCAGGAAACAAAGGATTAAATAAATCCAGTGCTGTTCACGAGCTGACTCAGTTGAAGATTACCCTCACAGAACCTCTGATCCTCCTTCTCCTCTAACTCCTGACCATGTATGATCAAAACAAAGTGGCTCTCGTTTGTAGATGACATCATTTGTAGAAATGATAAATGTCTACAAATGACATCATTTGTAGAAAAATTTTAATAGCACAATGGTGGCTCCCTTTCTTAATACCTGGAAAGATGCCGATGTGATCTGCAGTCCTTCTTGCATGTTCTGTTGTAGTTGATTCTGCATTGTGATCTTCTTCTCCTTGGTGATGGAGGCAATGGGGAAACTTCGTACAACTGTCTGCTCACCAACTATAGGAAAACAGGGTACAGACTAAGCAACAGCACTTTACAGCTCATGTGTAGAGTCTCTGCTGCTTATTTTACCAGCCTCTGCTGGAGAAATGTGTCTGGAGAGGACAATGTCTGGGAAAGAAGCAATACAAAGTGCCATGATTCTAGAATTGCATTCATTAATTGTGTTGCATGGCAATTCATTTCTGACATATATTTCTTTCCTGGAGTGCAGGAATGGTCCCAAACTGCCAACCTTCATTCTAGTTCCCCAACCTATTGTGTGTCACACAAGATCATCTGGTTTAAGGCATCTTACAGGAAGGGTAGATATTAAACAGAAGAAAAGAAGGATCTTCAAATATTGAAAAGACATTTATTATATTTAATATAAGAATAAAGCAAAAGAGAAAAGACTGTTAAGATAAGACAGTTAAAATTTGTTTCTGAATAAAGGCACTATACTATGTGTATGTGCCTTCAGAAGATATACTGGGGTTAGGCCCAAGATTCTTAAACTGAACTGAACTGAAAGTCACTCAGTCATGTCCGACCCTTTGCAACCCCATGAACTATACAATAGAATGGGAAAGACTAGAGATCTCTTCAAGAAAATTAGAGATACTAAGGGAACATTTCATGCAAAGATGGGCTCTATAAAGGACAGAAATGGCATGGACCTAACGGAAGCAGAAGATATTAAGAAGAGGTGGCAAGAATACACAAAAGAGATAAAAAAGAATACACAAAAAAATGTACAAAAAAGATCTTCACAACCCAGATAATCACGATGGTGTGATCACTCACCTAGAGCCAGACATTCTGGAATGTGAAGTCAAGTGGGCCTTAGGAAGCATCACTACAAACAAAGCTAGTGGAGGTGATGGAATTCCAGTTGAGCTATTTCAAATCCTAAAAGATGATGCTGTGAAAGGGCTGCACTCAACATACCAGAAAATTTGGAAAACTCAGCAGTGGCCACAGGACTGGAAAAGGTCAGTTTTCATTCCAATCCCAA